GATTAATATTAACTAGGACCTAATATTAACTAGGACCTTAATTTTCCTTGTACATTCTGATTTTGATAGGAAATTGTTAAAAATGTCAACTACTCTGCACTTTCCCGAAAATGGGGAAAGAGCGTAACTCGAAATTAAATACTTTGAAAGTTTATTTCATGTGCAATGGAGCAAGGGCAGAATTATTAACAAATCTGCTATAAAATGCTTTTTACTGCATTGTGCAAGTTCTCTATACTGCAAACAAGTACTCTTAGCTGAAATGTAAAAGGGGATATAGTGAAACAAAACAAGGAAACAAACATATTAAATGGAGAAATTTCGCTCATATTGTAATAAAAATAGCCTGTATACGCACTTGCCCCGTTTATGAACTTACCCCACTTCACCTTATTGAAAATTTTACATTTTTAAATTACATGGTTAAACTTTTGTTAAATTTCGTAGGTAATTAATTCGAAAGTAAATTAAATATGAACCGAGATATTGTCTATACTCGATCGCGTCGTAATTTATTTAAATAATTCATTTATTCTAAAGATACATATAATTTTTGTATATAATTCTTTTTACATCGACGAATTTTTAGTAATTTTCTTTGATGTCAACGACATATATTAAATAAACAAGAATACCACTAAATAAACAGCAATGAATGAATAATAAATAATAAGCATCAATAAATGAACAACAGAGTTATAATTTGTTCTCTAATAGCATAGTTCGCTTTAACTACACGAAGATTAAAGAACCAATAACATTGTTGCAACCGTAATTACGCGTTTAGCTTTTTGTTAATTGATGGCTTTAATTTATCTATAGTCATTAATTATTGGAGATACCCCACCGGAAGATATGCCATCAGCTTCCTCAGCGGCTTTAATGAGCAAAATACCGCCACAACATTTTTGCTCGACGGTTCTTCGCCTAATAGCGCTTTACGTTATATCTCTTGGCGAGGGATACCTACACGCCATGTTTACAACTCAAACTCGAATCGAGAATATGTTACTTAATTTACTGATACCGTTGTTCTTACGTGTGGGAACTGGACGAAAAGGTAAAACAAAAACTTGTTATAATAATAGTAGTAATTGTATATTTTAACAATTATGGTGTTTGCTATTGTGAAGGTAAAATTGTTCATACGTGTAAATAGTAATATGAGATATTTTATTCAAATTTTTGACACTGTTTCGTTTTATTAATTTTTATTGAGTTATGTGAAAAGTGACGCATGATAAAATATAAAATATATATTAAGAGTTATACTCTTGCTTCATCAAGTTAAGATCTGTTCCATTTGTAAATTCTTCATTATTTTATTCGGAAAATGAACCTTCCATTATTCTACTTCAGAACAAAAATTTTAATGTCTTTATTGTACAATGAATAAATAATTGATAAGTAGAACAAAATTTACACATATGATATATATGATGATAAATATACACAGTATAGTCATTCTAAATAACATAATTTAAAAATATGTGAAAATATTATTTTAAACTTTATATCTGATAAAAGTCATTCAAGAAATTAGTCGGAAATGTTATCGACATTCCATAAAAATTAATGAGATCGTATTAATTAAAAAAATTAATTAATACAATGATTTGTATTATTTTGAATTGATTGCATGCTTTAGATGTACCAAAGCTGAGGCAGTCGGACATAAATTTTGCTCTGACAGCCGTGTTAAATACTTTATGGCCACCAACAACTAAAACAATACCAATTACAACACAAAATCTAAAAACTACGACGGATGTTAGAGCAGGTAGTTTAACGTTTGTGGCGAGGGATTCAAAGACTTCGACGAAAATGTCGTTGACGTTGTATCAAGTTGCCTTTCTGGGTAAGTAATTTAGCAATTTAGTTAATAATTTACAGATTTAGTAGTCGCAGAAATATATAATAATTTAATACAAAACAAAAATCATTTTTTATAATTATTTGTAGCTTTTATTTATCTCTGGAGGTACAAATTATATCTAAGTTAATACCAGGCACTGAATATACAGAGCGTCTCACAAACAAAAGTTTATTATTGTATTCTTCTCAATACAAAGATATTATAACCTCAAACCTGGATATTAAACCATAATTTTGTAAATACGAATCGTGTTAAATAAATAATAAAATTAGCCATGAAATTGTATAAATATTTATTCGTTTGAAAGTGATTGTAATTATGTGCAACATTAGAATTTATATGCAAGTAATATCGAATTTTAAGTTATATTCTAAGACATTTGTAATTAGTAATTCACTTACAATTTAAATTAATTTTTACGTAATTGCATTCACAATATTACAACTTCCATAGAAATTATACTAAACTGTAATATTCTACTTCACTTATAATTATACAGGGCGTCTCAAAACTAGTGTAATGTGCGGTGTACTGCTACTTTATTGACTAAACGTGTTTTCTATCAGTTACACTGAAAAAAACATTTATAACTATTTCTAAATTACCTTTAAACTAGTGAATAATAATTTGTAACCATCATTCTCCTTTTTACAGCACTGAAAATAATGACGATATGTTTCGAAACGGAATTGAAGACCGAATGGACAAAAATCTTACGCACAATGCGTTTGTTAAACAAACGAAACGAAGCTTCCACGTACTTGTGGAACTTTATTGAATTCGTGGTGACACATCGTACAGCTTTGTACATTCAAATGCTTCCATTTATCGTTCACAAGATTGGCCAGGCACCGATTTCAGAACACGAGAGAAACATGCAGAGTATCATACGTTCAAAAATCAACGGCGATACCAAAACCGTGCCAAAGTCTCGCGGTACTCTGCTGACTGATCTCATACACGAATTGAAGGATCTGAAGGAAGAGATAGAAGACCGAAAATTCGGTAAGAAAAATTAAATTAAAGCTCTACCACAAAAATTAAAAATTTTGTTTTAAAATTAAGGAGCTTTCTTTCCTTTTTGGGTTGACAAACTTTTTTAGTTACTAAATTTTATTTGCAAATTTTATTTTTAAAAAATTTCTGTTTTAGTACGTTGTATAATTATTATAATTGAACGTAACATAAGATAGTATTTTACTACTATAGTGTCACTATAGATATGTACCCTTAATATACAATATTTCATTATAATGTAAAGTATTCATGATGTAGAATACTCGTTGAATATTCATAACAATGTAGAATATTTCATAAGCATTAGATCATTAATTTTTTTTCTTCCACAATTTTTGAACAAATAACGAATAAGAAATAAAATCTTCAGAAGGTCACTCCACAACATACATCAAAGATGACTAAAGAGACTTAAAATTAACCCCTTGGCCGATAATACCGTGACACACTCATGACGCACTCTACAGGTCAAATATGACAAGACCCTTCATTATCTTCATTGAAAATTTTCAGTTGAATTCTAATTATAATCTTTGCAATCAAGGATCGTTGAATACTAGACGTGTTTAAAGTACAATTTTCTTTGTCTTCACGTTACAGCAATAAATATTGAACTATGAATAACGTAACTTAAGGGTTTAAAGTCGAATTCACATCTCCTAAATTTGTCCTTATATCGTTTACAAGAGACGTACAAGAGACAAACATCGTTTACATCATTTCAAGGGAAATACAATTACATGATTATTTTGTTTTAATTCAGATGAAACACAGCCCGAGCCAAAAAGGAGTGTCGCAGACATGCACTCCATACCCGAAGGAGCACCCCGCACGCAAAGATTATCATTAATCGATCGTTTGACTGGAGATCTCGGATCTAGGGGTCATATGAATCACCAATCGAATTCAAGTAGCACAGTGAAAACAACGCAAGCCAGTCAAGTATCGACACCGCCAAACGGTATACAAACAGCACGCGGTACGGTTTTAATCATACTCTTATTTGTTAATTATGCGAAAGTAAATCGGTGGAAAAAGGATATAGCTTGATAAGATGACTATAAAAGCTTGACCTTAATCAAAATTGTAATCTCTTATTAACTCTTCAATTAACTCTTAACGTTTTGTTATACCCTGTATAATCATAGTGACCGTATAATCATACATATTCATACAGTACATTCGTACAGTATTCAAAATAAATAATATAGAATCATACAATATCCAAAATGTTTTCATATATTTTATGTGTTCGTACATTTTAGACATTGTATGTTTATACATATAAATGTTTAAGTTTACGTACACGTATATTGTTCACCAAAGAAGAAAATTATTAACGAGAAAAAATTCATTGTTATATCTAAATTTCTAAATTTGACAATTCTCTATGCTGCTAATTTCTAGATTTCACAATTCCCAATTTTTCAAATTTCTAAATTCCACAATTCTCAATTTTTCACATTCCTAAATTTCTAGATTTCTATATTTTCAAATTTCAAAACTTCTAAATATCCAAATTTTCTAGTTTCCAAGTACCCAAATACCCTAGTCCCCATGTCCTTAAATTCCCAAATCTCCAAATCTCCAAATTCCAAATTCTCTAGTTCCCAAGTCCCCAAATTCCCTGGTTCCCATATTTCTAAATCTCCAAATCCCCCAAATTCAAAATCCCCCAAATTCCCATAATTCGCAAATCCCAAATCCCCCATATTCCCAAATTCCCAAATTCTCCAAATCCCAAATACCCCATATTCTCAAATTCCCCAAATTCCCCAAATCCTCTAATCACCAAACCCTCCAAATCCCAAATCCCCCAAATTCCAAATCCCCTATATTCCCAAATTCCCAAATTCTCCAAATCCCAAATACCCCATATTCTCAAATTCCCCAAATTCCCCAAATCCTCTAATCACCAAATTTCCTAGTTCCCAAGTCCCCAAATTCCCTAGTTCCCAAATCTCCAAATTTCCTATTTCCCATGTCTCTAAATCCCCAAATCCTCAAATCCCCAAGTCTCTAAATCCTTAAATTTCCAAATTTCCTAGTTCCTAAATCCCCAAATTCCCTAGTTCCCATATCCCCGAATCTTCAAATCCTCAAATCCTCAAATTCTCAAATTCGCTAATTCCAAAATTCCTATATTTCAATTTGAGTTCACAAAATAATCTTGGTGGTAAAAAGATATCATGAATGAGCGCTGATGTGTGTCTCAACATTAAGAGCCCTAAAACATTGCGTTTCTAAATAATTCGTAAATTTCAATCGGTCACCAATGACCACCACGACAGTCGTTAACACCAAAATGGCCGATGTTTCAGGATCAAGCACAAGCGGAGGATCCTCGACTCTCCGCGAGGCCAGCGAAGTTGGCGTCGGCGAACAACAAACAGAACAACAAGCAGCGCCAGGTATTCCATCTCCTTCGAATTTCTTTTGCAAAACGGTTCCGGAGTTAAGACATTAACAGTACGACTGCAAGCCTCTCATAAATGTTTCGTTGTTCCTCTAAGCCAAGCGATTATAAAGCGTTTACCACAGTTGGATCGAGCCATTGTCTATAGGGCACTGCGTCGGAATTTGATATACTCTCTTGCAGTATTTTGCTTCTTTAGATATTTTATTTTGATTTACGACGAAATCGTTTTATCCGCAACGAGGCTTGCGACAAGACGACTTAAGGGCCGGGCTTGGAAAACGAATACTTCACGAATGATTTTTGCGGACTTCTGACGAAACTTCTGAACTTTTTGGACTTCTGACGAAACTTCTGGACTTTCTGGACTTTTGACGAAATGTTGATACGTTTCGGTGTTTCTTACTTATTTTATAGTGTTTTTGGTTAGCAGAGACAAGGGTAGATATTCGATTTCTGTGTTCAAAATGTTAAATGTGAAAAATGTGATTTGTCTTGTGTAGGATCCTGAGGAAGCAATGTCTTGTTATGAACTTTTTACAAAATATTCTTTGTACAATAATCTACGAAGCCCGATTTTAGGAAAATGGGACGTGAAGAGTTTCTTCTATAAAAACTTGTATATTTCCTTATCGTGAAATTTTATGGGTAACTTACAAAATTAGGTTCTGTAAGTTCTGTAATCTAGATTAGTGTACAGAAAATATCGCAAAAATTAAATATTGCCTTTTGACTTCAAAATCCTACTAAAGAGAAATCACATTTTGTACATTTCCCAAATTTCCGAATTTTCGAATTTTCGAATTTCCAAATTCCCATATTTCGCAAATCCCAATGCCCTAAATCCCCATATTTCGCAAATTCCAAACCCCCCAAACCCCAAATCCCCCAAATCCCCCTAATCCCCCAAATCCCAAA